ACCCCAGTGAGGGTGAAGGTGTGGAGATGATGGATGGATGGTTGTCTGTATTTAAGAGCTCCTCTTGTTTTACTGCCGCACACAAACATTTGAACTGATTCTTGTAAAAGTGAGTTTTTGGGGACGTGCAGGATGAAACGCTGCAGAAACATGAAGGTGAATAAACCGTCATTAAAACACCTGAAGGTCCAGAGCTTCATCGTTCTAACATCCAAACCACCACAGTGACTCAACCTGAGAACACCTGAGAACACCTGGAGGACATGCAGGAGCTGTGCTGAGAATGAAGAGGGAGCGGCAGCCTCTGTACAGGTACACCATTTAATAGTTATTATAGACATTTTATATACATTTCAACAGCTGTATTCTGCTATGTGGTACAGTCTTTAAAATCTGCTGTTCATAGTTTGTAAATCAAAAAAAAAGAAAAAAAAAACTTACAAAACTCATCAAAACTCGCAAACTGATCAGAACTTTTTTTTTTCCATTTTTTGGAAGACTAGAAAAAATACTTTTATTGTATTAATCATGCAGTACACAAACAGAAGTTACACAGTAAACCGTAGGCCGGTGAAAGAAAACCAAACAAAACCGTTTGTGATCGATCAGGAGGAACTCGTGTCTCAAACCCCCGAGTTACAAAAATAAAACTGTGATCGGAACAAACCACCACCACCACGACATTGAACTCCCCGCGAGTCGGAGCCGCTCGCAGCCAATCAGACAGCGGCGCTCGAACCGGCTCCTCCGGGAGGCCTCTGATTGGACGGCTCAGTTTCCTGAAGAGACCGAAAACCGTCGAGTTTTAATAAGTTATATCTGCTGCGACGGAGACGAGGAGGAGGAGGAGGAGGAGGAGGAAGAGGAGTCTGTGCTGCCTTCAGGCGCCACCAACCTGTCTGGAAAACCAAACGCTCACTGGTCTGTTACTGGAAACCCCCGCTGGGACCAGTTCACAGCTGGTCTAACCTGCTTCTGGACATGTTTTATTTACTGTCTTTACTTTCTTTAATCTCATTTTTAAATCTATTTTATGATTTCTGTGAATCTGTTTAACGACAAAACTTGTTTTTACACATGAATTTACTTTTAAACAATATTTTCTTGTTACATGTTCTGATTATTTATCAATCTTTGAGTTTGATTTAAAAAAAAAAAAAAAAAGCTGCAAGTTTGTGTTGAAACAGTTGAAGACACTGGTGAGGACGGACATCTTTGCTTTTTAGTTGGATTCTATTACCAAATTGAAATTTTAGCAGCTTTGGAGGATTTTACAGTTTAAAAGTCGGATTTCTAACAAATCCACAAACAAATTAAAGTTTTAACAGAAAACGAGTCAGGACTTGTGTCACCGACCGTTTCAACGCCGTGTTTATAGCTGAGCTCTTTATGCTAACTGTAATTTTAACGTTAGCTTTTATTGTGACGTTAAAACAAAAAAACATCGGGTTTATTTTTTTAAGCTGATTGTCTTTAAGCCAGAATGTAATTCCTCATTACAAGAATTACTTTTTAAAATTCTCACGATAGCTTTGGTTTTATGCTAACACCGATTAAAGCTAACGTTAGCTTTTTAATGCTAGGTTTTTTTAGTTTTTTTTTCATGTTAAAAGATGTTTTCATGCTAATGTTAGATTTTCATTGATGCTAAATGTTTACGGCAAAACTACATTTGGTTTTTGCTAATGCTACTAAACGTCAAAATAAAAATAATTAGCGTTGAACAAAGATGGCGGCTACGTTTGTTTTCTTTTAATGTTTTATTGGTAATGTTTATGCCAACATTGATTGGAGCCAACGTTTAACATTTATTGTGTGGACGATTTTATTACTTGATGTTTTTTTCAACTAAATGTATACTCCATTAGCATCGTCAATGCTAAGCTACTAGCGGCTGTTTCTCACTCGTTTGTGTTTGTTTAACTTTGAGGCTTTCAAACAGCTGCTTTATTTCTAAACTGTGACAAATGATTTTATAAAAGCTGTTGTAACTCATCGTCTGCTAGCAGCTTTAGCTCAGAGTTCAACAGAAACGAACCATAACTCGTTATTTTGGGCTAATCAGCTCCATGTTTAGTGTCTGACCTCCTTCCTCCTCCTCCTCGTCCTCCTCAGCAGCTCGTCTCTCGCGTCACACGAAGTCTGGAAACTGAACCAGACGTGGGTTCGACCAATCAGACAGAGGCGGTTTCTGTGAGTCACCATGCGATGGGAAACAGGAAGTAGATGGGCGGGGCCACAGGGTGTCGGGACTGGACGGGTGAGAGGAGCCACGATCGTCCTCGGTGCCGAACATTTATAAAAAAGGATTATAAAAACTAGATTTATCTTACACAAACAAAAATACTACAGTAACGTCTGATCCTCCGCTCGCTGGGCTCTGATTGGCCCACCAGGGGCTGAGGTTGGGGAGCACGAACCAATCAGCTGCGCTCGGAGACAAACAGGAGATCTGATCTTTAAACCGTCTCGTTTAGAAAGAAAACCAGCAGCTAGTGTTCCTCTTCTTCTTAATTTATCCTTAAAAACGGTAAAAAAGTTAAAATCTGGCGACGGCTGAAGCTTCAGCGCAGATTGAATCATTAAAAACTGAAACAGAAAGAAAACGTTCAAACATCAGATGTTCTGCTGCCGAGCCTTAAAGGAAAAACCCCCGTTTAGTTCACGACTTCAGCGTCTAGCAGCTGGAGCTACGTCCTCACGGGTCCGACGCGGTTCTGCAGAACTTAAAACGTTGATCAGTAACATTCAGAAAACATTGGAGGAACGGTTTGGATTCAGAAGAAGTGACAGACGTTGAACGGTGGGCTGGCAGTGGAAAGTCTGGTGAACTCATCAGCAACGACTTTAACGATCTGTTCATCAGCTTGAGTAGTTTTTAAAATGAAAAAGTCTCTAAACAGCAGCTTCCTACATGTGAATGTGTTCTGGTTTCTGTGCTCTGTGACGGTACACTGAACATATCTGGGCTCATGTCGGACTTTGGGAAACACCGACGGACATTTTAATCAGTTAACAACCCGATTCTATGTTCTGACTCGCAGCTCCTTCGGGTGAAGTTCAGAGCTCCACAGGACCACATGAAACAGAACCAGAACCAGTCCTGGTCTTTGGTCACTGATCACGTCCACTCAACCAGAGTCCATTCAGAGATCAGCCACTTTAAGGCAGGTGTTTTCTAGCTGACGTTAAATCACCCTGATCTGGATTTACCGTCAGACTAAACTCAGACTCACTGACTCGCTGTGTTTTCACGTAAATCTGAAGCAGCGGTTTGAACAAATGTCTGAGAATAAGATGTGAGTTACTCTGAGTGAATGAAGCGGTCTGGTCAGAAGGTGGCGCTGTCGGCTACGTGGCTGTGATAACCAGGCCTCAGCATGTCACCTGTCTGTGCTACTTTAACTACCTGGACTTCATCTGAGTGTGACTTTATCCACCATCAGAAGTTCTACCGCTGGATCAAAACGTGGACGCGTGAGTCCAAATATTTCTGCTCAGACGTCTTGGATTTGTCTGAAACTTTCACAGCATAAAACGTGGATATCTATAAAGATATCTGTGAAATTTTAGGTCGACATCCAAAATACTTTCCGAGATAATTTCTCCTAAACGTTCCTCGTCAACCCCTTCAGCAGGTGTTTTCTCTCAGTGAGATCTGAGGCTGTGATCATCTGAACAAACTGAAACGTTCTCTGTTATCTCTCATCATGTCGCTGATTCAGAACCTGTGATCCTGGACGACGAGCAGGTCAGAACATCACGGGACCGTCACATGAACAAAACAAACTGATGAAGCAGCTCCATGTAACAATAAAACTGAACATGCAGGAGACTTTTATTGTGAAATACTTGGTCAAAAAAATAAAAAAATCCCTAAAACGGTGCTGGGGGATTTTTTTAAAAGACTAAAATCTCGGAGAGTTTCTGACGTGTTGAGCTAAAACGTCACAGATTTAAACGTTCAGACCTGATGGTGGATTACCCAGAATGCAAAGCGCCGCTGAGTGGATTAGAGTTTGGTTCTTGGACGTGAAGCTGCTGATTTCGGGGATTTTTCCTTTAACGAGCTCGTCTCTCTGCTGTCGGGGGTCACCTAGTGTTAGCGGGGGAGGGGGCGGGGCCTGTAGTGTCGCACAGGTGAGCTGCTCACCTGCAGGTCTCTTCAGTCGCTCGCAGGACAAACACAGCTGCAGCTCTTAACTTAAACCGTGTGTGTGTGTGTGTGTGTGTGTGTGTGTGTGTGTGTTCAGTCGTCATGGAGATCCGTCACCTCCAGTCTCTCATATTAATATATAATCCGTGTTCAGACACCTGAACACACCTGAACAGACCGGCCTCTCTCTCTCTCTCTCTCTGTCTGTCTGAGTCTCTCGCCCCGCGGCCTCCTCCTCCTTCTTCTGCTCCTGGATTAAACGTAGACCCTGGCGAGGGCGTCGGCTCCGGCCGAGGCGATGTAGGCCTTGGAGGGGTGGAAGGCCACGTCGTAGATGGCCTCCTCGCTCTTCTTGCGGTGAGCCGTGATCTCCTGGACGCAGGTTTTGCTGTCGAGGTTCCACAGACGCAGCGAGCAGTCGTGACCTGAGCAGGAAGAGAAGCATCAGACGGGTCAGAGGTGTGGGCCCGGCTGGACGAGGCAGCTTCCTGTTTACTGATACAGACTACATCACAGCAGCTGAAGAATCAAACACATGATCAGGACTCAAAGGACGAGTTTAAGGAGTTTGACACGTTTTTAAAAAAAATTAGAAGCTGGATGTAAAAATAACTTCTAGTGACAGAAGTTTAAAAACTGATGTGACAACCGATGGACTCCAGAACACGCCGAGGACACACAGCGACCACAGAGACACACAATGAGCATAAAGACTCACAAAACAACCACAAAGAGACAGAAGCACCGTAAAGAAACCACAACACCACAAAGACCTGAAAACCACCACAAAGACCTGAAACAAACTCATTGATGTATTTATTGACCGTCTAAGGGAGGCACTGTGTGCTGCAGTGAGCAGTGAACACAGTGACGGTGAGCTGCTGTTTGGACTTCAGAGGATCTCTGAAGCCGACAGCAGGGAACCTAAAACCTTCACACACCTTAAACACAGAGCTGCAGCGCTACAGAGACGTTAGAGCGACTTACTGCCGGACATTAGGTAGATGCCGTTTGGATCCACAGCCAGACTGGTCACTGCGTCCAGGTGAGCCACCATCGCGTGGATCACTTTACCTGCAGGAGGACAGCACAGGTGACCCAGGAGCCGCTTCATGTGAAGAGCTGCCATGTTTAAACTCAGATCAGAGGAACGTGAACACACATTTCCTCTTCCTGTCTAGACTTTAAATATCAAACGAAACCAGAACTCCTCAGTAACATGAAATGTCCAAATATCAATATTTTGTTATTTGTCAGTCTGCCCCGGGGCAGGTGTGGTTACAACTGGAGCTACCACCACCAGGATGGATGTGTGTGAAGCGTCTCTGAGTTACTCAAAAAAAGCTTTGTATAAATGTAATCCATTGTTATTATGATGATGCGTTTTGTTAGAAGTTAATAACAGATTTCTAACATCTTTAGGTCATTCATTCATTCTTTTTTGATATTTTCTGTATTTTTGCTGACATTCTTCTGACTTTGTGAATGTATTCATACATTTGGTCTTTTTTCTAGAAACAATCCAGAAACCTCCACTTCAGCAGTTCTTACAAACCTTACAGTTTAACTGGTATCTGTGTTCGTGAAGCTTCTCTAACGGGGGGCTGACAGGATTTTCTGATTCATGGCGCGACATACAGACACACTGAACTCAGGTGTTCAGTGTTCATGTTTCTGTCCTGGAGTTAAATCAGTGCATTTAGAGTTTAAAAACAGTCCATCTATGTCTGTGTTTGGATGCTGACGCGTGATTGGCCGACGGTGGGCTCACCTGACTTGTTGTCGTAGAACTTGATGTGGCGGTCCTCGTGGGCGCTGATGGTGACGGGCAGCGTGGGGTGACTCACCACCTTGTTGATATGGTTGGAGCCCGGCAGCGCTGTGGGGAGAACAAGCAGACTGCTGTGAACACGTGTTGCGTTAAAACCGGTGTCACACATCCGTCTGTCGGCGCGTCCTTACTGCCGTCTCCCTGCCCCTTCAGCACCAGTGCATTCTGGGAGGTCTCCAGGTCGTAGACCACCACGTCGCCACTGTTGAAGGACGCCACCATGTGGGCGGGGTCACAGCCGTTGAAGTCCACTGACGTGGGCACGCCGTGCTCTGAGACAGACACACAGGTTGGTTAGTTGGCCGGTCAGTGTTGCCACGGCGACCGGCGTCCTGTGGGCGGAGCTGCGTCTCACCTCTGTTGGCGTTGAAAGTGCTGATGCAGGGGTTCTTCTCCGTCGGGTTCCACAGCTTCACCGTTCCGTCCGCCGAGCAGGACAGGAGGCGGTTCTTGATACCGCTGTAGGCCAATCCCCACACGGCGTCCGTGTGACCCGTCCACGAGCCCGCCAACACGCTGGGATCTGATTGGACGAGAGGACGAAGAGGGAGAGGGGCTTCGTGTTTATTGTCTGACAAATGCTCAGAGGACATTTATTTAAAGTGACGACAGAAAAACATGAGACGTATCAACAGAGTGCCGATGTTGTTAAAGGGAGACGGTTCTGATGACGTTGGAACTGATCTGAAGCCAGAACACATCTATGAGCTGGTGACGGGTTTATAAATCTGGACCACACGTTTTGCCTTCAGCCTGTTGTCAGGCAGCAGGCTCAGCTCAGTGGGATGTTGGTACCGTAGGTGTCGTAGGGGTCGACGTTGGAGCTCGGGATGTTCCACCACTGGATGGTTGAGTCGATGCCGCCGCTGAAGCACTGCTCGCCGCTGGAGGTCATCGCCAACGACAACACCGGACCACTGAGGACGGACAGCAGAGTTCAACAAACTGGTCCTTTAACTTCTGATATCAAGGTAAAGACTTTTCTGATGATTATTGAATGCTTTCTAACATTTTATAAAAGACTTTTAGGATAGTTTTCCTCAAATCATCCATCCATCCATGCATGTTCTGATTTATTAACATTTTTTAGATATTTTACTGGACATTAAATTTTCCTGCCGTTTGATCCATATTTATGTTTTATTGACATGTTTCTGAATTTTATTCACATTTTGACCATTTTTGGGCCTTTCAGTCACATTTTCACAGCATTTCAAAGTATTTTCTAAACGTTTGCTGCTCAGGCTGAGCTACTCTAACTTAGTCTGCATTAATATTCTAGAAACTCTCAGTTGCTGATCAGCTGAACTGAATCTGTGATTTAAATGTATTTTGAACTTGAGTTGCTGGTAAAAGCTGGAAGCTGAACCTGATGACTCCCATGAAGGACTGAAGATAAATGAACCTCGGGACAGAACTTAACGTCACTGTTCAGATACTCACACATGAGCTCTGAATGTGTAGATGGGCTCCACATCAAAAGAGGCACTTCTGAAAAACAGGAAATAAAACACACAGACGGTTATTCAACATCCTCAAACTGCCTCTTCATCGTCTCTGCTGATGTCTGAGGAGCTGCAGAGGGCTGAGCTCTGATACGACAGTAAATCCTGGAGGGGATTCTTTACAGGGATTATGTGTGCGACACTGATGCGTCCGCATTTGAAGTTCAGCTGAACGGCGTCACGGAAGCGCTGCAAGAAAATGAGATGCAAATATTGAAGGACGTCGAGAGGATTTTCCTCCGAGGAGACGAGAATCCAGGAGCTTCAGGACGACGAGGAAACGCTGACGGAGGGAAAGTTTTACTGAGACCTGCACAAGCACACACCCCGTTAGCACCACGGGCTAGCACGCTAGCATGGGGGCGCTGGAGGTGCGTGTGTGTGTGTGTGTGTGTGTGTGTGTGTGTGTGCTGCGTACTTTTTGGCAGGGACGGTCTTGGTGAGGTTCCACAGTTTGAGCGTGTGGTCCTCGGACACGGTGACCAGGCAGGGCTCGACCGGGTGGAAGGCGAGCGCTCGGACGCCGTCGAAGTGACTCCGCAGCGTGTACTTGGGGTTCCAGGTCTTCCTGAATGAGGACTCCTTATTGGACGGCAGCTGAGGGCGACACAAGACAGCGGTTACATTTAATAACGAGTGTCTGCATCCTAATCTGCAGTCGTGTGTGTGCTTCCTCACGTCGTAGCCGTAGTCGGCCTCGTCGTTGGTGACGGTGAGGTCGGCCAGGTCGCCCAGACCCAGCACGCTCTCCAACACGTCGTCTGAGCCCCCCAGCAGGAAGGACTTCCCCCCGCCGGTGGGAAACGGCAGAGGCTCCGCTGCACACACAGTTTAATAAACACATGTGACTCACCGCCTTCATTGGACTGAAGCATCTTCATTAGAAACTACACTCTGATGAAGCTTTCTGACCAGAAACTAAAACAAAGGATGTCGATTTTAAATACAGAAATACGATCATATAATGTTCTTGTACTAGAATCTGTGATATCAGTGTTTCCTACATCTACATCTACAATAAGGAACAAGAAACATCCAGAATCCACTTCAGAGGACTGAATGAATGACAGGGAGTCAGCTCCAGGTTCTGCTGTCTGCCGGTACCGGTCCTCACCCCACTCCGTCCCGTCTCCGGAGCTCCGAGCCTCGCCGGCTCCCTCTCCGTCCTCGGCCGTCACCAGGAAGTCGAACTCCTTCAGGGCCTCTTCGGTGTCGGCGTCGTCCTCCGAGGCCAAGCCTTCGTTTCCCACCTGGAGGAAAAGGAGGAGCCCCAGCATGAGGAGGAGGAAGAGGAATAGGAGGAGGAGGAGGAGGAGGAGCCCCGGCATGAGGAGGAGGAAGAGGAAGAGGAGGGGAAGGAGGAGGAGGTGTTCATTGATCTGCAGGCTGCTGGTTCTGGACTCACCTTGGTCTTGTGTTTCTTGGCTCGGTGGTGTTTGTCGGTGCTGATGTCGTCCATCAGGTCTCCCTCCTCGTCCTCGTCTTCGTCGCTGTCCTCTGCGTTCTCCAGGAAGTTAAACGTCTCCAGAACGTCACCTGGACTCCTGAACACACACACACAAACACACACACACACACACACACACACACACACGTCACACCTGAGTGATCTGGTTCACCACGGTTGTGGGGACGCTGGTGTGTTTGCAGGAATCAGAATGTGAGTCAATGAAACACTGATGTGTGTGTGTCTCTATGTGTGTGTGTGTCTCTATGTGTGTGTGTTTGTCTATGTGTCTGTGTGTGTGTGTGTGTGTGTGTGTGTGTGTGTGTGTGTGTGTGTGTGTGTGTCTATGTGTCTGTGTGTGTGTACCTCTTGCTGTCCTTGCGGCGCTCCGTTCCGTTGATCAGGTGCTGCAGGTTCTTGTTCTCCACAGATCCGTTCTGCTCAGAACCCGACAGGCCGAGCAGCGAGCGAACCCTCTGAGTGCGGACGTCCAGGATGGTGTCGGTGTATCCCACTTCCTGCAGGTACCTTTTATTATATTAAATAAAAAAGGATCAAATGTGTGCAGTTTTTCTTTAGTTTTACACCTTAAAGCATCACGTTTGCTGCCTGTGTGCTCTGGTTTCTACATTATTCTACATTCTCAGTATTTAAAGCACTTTAATCTGTGAAAGTGAAGCTCAGACAGCGTTTGACCGACCGACTGAGGAGCTGCAACAATCAAACATTTTTCTTTTTGCTTCAACATAAATGAAAAAAAGACGGTTTAATCAGCAGCTGCTGATTATTTCAAACTGCTGCTAACATTCATCACATATGAAACACATGATTATTCAGATAAACAAGGTGCAGCCAACAGAAACAGAACTCAGCTTCTGAATCTGAGCTGTTTTCTTTGCTGATATGATGAACTTTGGGGTTTATAGTTGGAGCTGATTTCCAGCTGCTGTTGTCGACGTGCGATCTGATTCTGAGCTGAAGAGTTCAGGCGTTCTTACTGTCTGAGCAGCTGCCGTCCTTGTTTCCAGGTGAGCTGACTGTTGGCAGGAACAGCAGAGACCTCTGAGTCTTTGGTGTCTGAAACAACAACAACAGAAACCGTGACCGATTCAGCGCCACCTGCTGGAAACACCAGCGACACACAGCGTTCAGTAGAACAGCTCCTCAGACTGAGAACACACCAGCTCAATGAGAGAAACACCAAAACCAGTCTGTCTTCACTTTAACTTCAGCTTTCATTGTCTATCAGTGACTGTCAGATCAATCAATGTGGGGGGAAAATATTAAAATGTAAAGTAAAAAAAGTAAAATAAAAATAGGGAAAGGGTTAGAAAACAATGAAGAATGTCCAAAAAATATTTACACACTCCTTAAAAAACACAACAGCTCAAATACATGTTTTAAATGTCTGAAAATGCTAAAAGAAAATGTCAGAAAAATATCATAACTCCCCATCCAAAATATAAACATTTTTTTAAAAAGCAGAAAAACATTTGTAAATAATAAAAAAAGGCAAAATATACAAAACACTAAAATTAATAAAATCTCCAAAACAATGTCAGAAGTATATTATATATATATTATAAGTATATTAACAAAATATCCAGTAAAATACCTGAAAACCTGGAATGAAATAAAATGTCCCAGAAAGTTAGAAAAATGTATAAAGGCCTCCCAAAAAGCCAGAAAAAACAATTAAAATATCCAGAAAAACATTAGTAAAACCCCTTGTCCAATAATAAAAAAAATACAAAACTAAACATAAAATTAAAAATATATTATAGAAATTTTAAGGAGTTGAACTAAAACATAAAAAAAGCCAAAAAATAACTGAAAATATTTGCAATTATCGGAAAAATATGAATAAACTGTCAAAAAGGTCATATTAATAAATCTGAAACATATTTATATATTTTAAAACATATCTGAACTATCTTCTGGTGACAGATGAATGGTGCTTACTGTTGCGACACATTGAAAAACAAAGTTGATTTTTCTCAGACTGCTGGATCTGAACAGGAGGACGAGGACGAGGAGTGAATCTATAATCTATAATCTATGATCTGTGTCCCACCTGATTCAAAGCTTGGCATCTTCATCTCTCCTTGGTTCAACTCTGTTCCATATTTTAACTTGTGATATTTCGCTCTGAGGAGGAAACAAAAGAAAAAAAGAACAGTTTAGTCTCCTGTTAAGGATTTAAAACATCCAGAAGTTTGCTCACTGAGCAGCAGAGGATGATGATGATGATGACGATGAAGCAGCAGCAGCAGAACGTTATTGTTGTGCATTATCACGTCATTAATATTTCATTGGTTAAATTCTGACTAATGATTAATCGGTAAGGTGCTGCGTCAGAACGTTGTCCATCCAGACGGTCACTTCCTGTGTTCGCAGCTCTTCCTGCAGCAGGATCACGGTGGAAGGTCAACGCCTCATTACTTCTGCTGACTTGATATTTTTCAGGTATTCTGGGCGTTTAAATCACATGTTTGACCCTCAGCTGCACTCGGTCAGAATCCTTCTGGACCTGCCTCACCTTCCTGCTGCTGCTCTGATCTGTCCTGGGTTCATCTCCATCACATCACTGACGGGACTGTCAGCTACAAACCATCACCGATAGAGTCTGGTCACATTAAAATCATGTTGCTGCAGCGTTTTTAGTGCTAATATCAGCAACAATGAACACAGAAATACGTTTCTCATCAATCTCTGGTGTGACATCCAGCAGGAGGAAAGTTCTCCACCGTTTTTGTCAGCAGGAGGAACGGACCTCCTGCTCTCTGTACTTCCAACTGGTCCCACCTGAAGGTTTACTGGGAGTCAAACTGATAAATCAATAGCAAAGACACACAAAACAAAGACCAAGAGGCACAAAAAAAACAGGAAGTAACACAAATGGACCATGACGAGACAAAACCAAACAAAAAGAGACGCAAAATGAACACAAACAGACGTCGTTTCAGTGCACACAGAGGTCACATCTGCTCTTAGAACAGGGATCTCCAACCCCTGCAGGTTTTAGACGTTTACTGCAACACACCTGACTCACACTGATGGATCATTAACAGACTTGTGTAGAACTTAACAAGCTGCTGGAGATCCATTAATGTGAGTCAGGTGTGTTGCAGTAAACGTCTAAAACCTGCAGGACAGTTTGGAGGCTGGAGATCCCTGGTTTAGACACACTACTAGATGCCCAATGGCTGCAAAGAGACACAAAGAGACCAGAAACTGACTTAAAAAGACACATAATGAACACAAACTGGAAATCAACGCAAAAACAAATACACAACATGGTGACAGCGAGAGACAGAAAGAGCAGAAAGAGAAACAACTCCACCAGGAAGTGATGCAAACTGATAAGAACCAGGCGGTGATTCGATGTAAAAACCAGCCGTAAGACACACAAACCAGTCACTACTGGAGGCTAAACAACCGCAGAGACACACAACTGGACCAGAAACACACTACATATTACATTAGGATTGTTTTCGTTGCAATACATTTGAATTCTATTCTTTTCTTTTCACATAAAACCGACTAGAAGATGTCAAATGAACACAAACTCATCTAAACAAAGACTAACAACCACAAAAACATGGAACATTAAGTCCATTTACATGTTTGTTTTCTCTTTGATTGATCGATTGAAAAGTTGCTATGATTTCCATCTACCAACATTTCCTTTGCATCACTACAGACCTACAACCAACCGATGAAGCAATCGATCAGTTATGTCAACTTTTAAATCAATCACCAACTAGTTTGATGATCGATTAGTCGGTTGGAGTGAAATTAGAAGAAAATAACATCTAAGTTCTCTGGTTTCAGTTTCTTCAGGAGGAATATTTTCTGGTTTCTTTCCTCCTTTATGACAGAAAACTTATTTAAACCATTTTATCGACCAGAGAACCACCCGAACAATCCAGGAAATAATCCACAGACGAATGAACATGATGATTAGCTGCAGCGTTTCGGTTTTCTTCGTGTGTCTTACCTTTCCTGCTTTAGTGCGTATTCTAACATCTTTATTCTTCTAACCAGGTCGTTCTTCAGGTTCTCCTGACCTTTCCTCTCGCCCTGCAGGAACGCTATCCTCGCCTGGAACACAGAGACACAGAAACACAGTGTTAATACAGCGTTAACACAGAGAACAGCGTTACCGAGGAGTCACTGCATCATGATTCATCCTGTAACAGAGGGAATGTTCCTCCATCTCTTCAACATAATCCGGCCGTGATACCCGTCATCTAAACATCAGCCTGCAGGAGAGAGCTCACAAAACTCTGCAGCGTTTTATTCCAAGAAGAAAAAACAACCAGTGCTTTGTTTTACCCGTCGTCCACCAGATTACTGCAAAGCCTGATGTCGTTCTAATAACCTGTGACGGATGTTTCAGTGTTTCTGTGACCTGCAGCAACAAAACAGA